TTGAGCTTAACAGGAGGGGATGACTACTCAAACAATAGGGGACCACGATGGCACCTTTAGCGGATTTTTCCCCTTTTTAAGCAAGCACCACGACGAAGATGCCCATTAGGAAGGAAGTACCCTTCACGAAACAGCTATAACTGGCTTTTCTCCCCAAAAAACCAAACTCCACACTGCCACGTTGCCCCACCCCTCAAGCCGAAAGAAAAGAAGAAAAAAAAATAGATGAATATCTCCCGCCCTTCCCACGTTTGGCTCGGCAGATTATTCGCGTCCATTCTAATCCTACCGCTTCTACCACTTCAATCACTTCAGCCACTTCTACCACTTCTGCGTCATGTCAGCACCTTCGAGATAACCCCCACTCGCAGCAGCCTCGCGGAAAGAAAGGTACGCATCGTAAGACTGAACAAGATCATTTCCATGGAGAAGAAGATATCGAGGAGGAAATCGGACGAATTCATCAAAGAAGGAAATGTAAAGCTGAATAACAGAATTGTTAAAAACCCAGGAACACATATCGATGTAACAAAAGATAAAATAAAAATTTTGGGGAAAACACTAAACATTCTCCAGACGCAAAAAATGATCAATCAAAATGACAACAACATGTACAAATGGTTTGTTCTTCATAAGCCCAAGGGACTTCTATGTACATCCGATGACGAGAAGGATAGGGCTTCCATATATTCCCTCTTCCCACAGGACATAATAGACAAGTACCGGCTAGTCTCCGTAGGTACGTCTTTCCCAGACCAGGGCTTTGACGCTTTTTTTTCCTTTCCTGCTCCTGTGCCATTGTACGAGAGTGATTCCTCCCCTACAGTGCATCTATACCTGCACTGCTTCCAACCAATGCGTACATAGGCGCATTACCACCTGGGTACAACTCATCATTACCGAGTAAAGAATATCCTCCTTGTGATGGTACCTTCTTGAGTGGTACAGATAAAATGATTTGCTCGGGGGAAAAAAAAAAATTGTTAACCCTTACTGGGTTAATAATATCTGAGCAAAAATGACCCGTAGGTTCTTCACTCCATTTGGTGTGTGTGTGTGCGTATCTGTCTGTCCGTGTTTGTTTCTCTGTCTGTGTGCGTCTTCCCTCTGCTTGCAAACGAATTGGACACTTCCACGCTTCGACGAGTCCCACCCGGCGTGTCCGCCATCTCGTGTTTTTCTTTCCCCCCTGTCCCAGGCCGACTTGACCGGAACACATCTGGCGTCCTCCTCCTCACCAACGAATACGCTTGGGTCAACAAACTAACGCACCCAAGGTACCAACGAATAAGAACATACAGAGTGCACGTCGAAGGACCGGCACAAATGAAAGTACTAAAGGAGCTAGCTACAGGTGTATATCTACCAGAGGATGATAGAGGACGAAAAAAGCAAAAAATAATGAAAACAGAAAGAACACAGCCAGCATTTATTGAAATATTAAGGCAAGAAACCATAAAAGTAAAAGATCAAGTCAAAAGGATAAGCGTATTAAACATTAGCGTACGCGAGGGACGAAACAGACAAATTAGAAAAATGTTTGAGCAAATAAACCAGCCGGTGATTAAGATAAAACGAACTGCCTTCGAAAATATAACCCTCAAGGATATATTTTTCCCCAAGCAGTATCGCGAATTGACCCATCGGGAGGTCTCCGATTTGAAGACACGCCGCTTCTAACAAGTGAGAGAGGAAAAAAAAAGGAGAAAAGAAGCTAACGTAACTTTCTTAAAGTAGAAGACACAAGAAGGAAACGATAGTGAATGTGGACCAAACGAAGACGTTACGGAAAGCCCATTCATTTTCTCATCCTTCCCGCACTTCCCCCAACGCAGTGAGACGCAAATTGGTAAAAATCCCCCCACGCGCTACACAGACATGCCTACAGCCAGCGTAGCCAATTTTAAGACGCCCCAAAGCAACATCATCAGTAGCAGCGTTGTGGCGACAGGGGACGATCGAATTAACACAAAATTATTCACAACTGGGAGCTGAGGAAGATATGCACGTCATCTGGGAGGGTAGAAAAACGTCTTATGGAACGGGTTAACAAAATGGAAGAAAATAATTACAAAAGGGGGGTAGAACGTACACAATTGTTTTAAAAGGTGATACGCACGTGGGAAAAAAAGAAAAAACAAAGAAGGAAAAAAGAAAGGAAAAAAAAAGAAAAAAAAAAAAAAAAGAAGGAGAAGGGAAAAATTCGCACGGTGCAGGTCTACACGTACACCTTTCAGCTTTCCAACTTTTCACCTTTTCAGTTGCCTTTTTTTTTCCTTCTCTCCCCATTTCTGGGGTCCTAAAAAATACCCCCAAGACACGCCGAAAAATCGAAAGCTGCTTCTACCCTAGGAGGGGCCATCATCATCCACCTGCTCCTCCTCCTTCGCTTCACAAAAATGATAAGAGTACCAACGTTAATGAAAAAAAAGAAAAAAAAAAATCCTGCTGAGTTCATTCAAACACTTTCGACTTATGTATCATGCTCAACATTTGGATAATAACTGCGTGTGGGTATGCGGAATGGAGAAAAAAAAAAGAACAAAATGATGTTGTGCAGACACATGTATCTTCACTCCTGCGTAGAACTCACAGGTGGGTGTTCCAACACGTCTTACCCGATCCAATAACGACAAAAATGAAAATTACGAGAAGTATGGGCCCCACAGGATGTTTCTTTCCCTTCTTGACCAAGGAGGGAGGCACGTTGCCTCGGTGCGTTATGTTGTTATCAAAGGCGTCGACCTTTTGGTTTATTTTTCTGTTGCTTGCCATCTGAGAGTGGGAAGGAAGCGGAAGGATGTACACAAAATGGGTAGACATACAAGTGTAGCATTCACTGCCAACAGGTTCGCTGGGTGAGACATTCCCCGCGGAGGTAAAGCGAAATATGCAAACACTGGGGGGAAGGGGGGTATCGGTGGATCAACATTATTTATCTTGTTTTCTTCTTCCATTTTTCCACTTTTCCTTTTTTTCCATTTCTTCCATTTTTTTCTTTTTCCTCGTTTTTGGCTCCCCAGGTTGCTGTCTTCCCATACCTTGCCTAAAAAACGTAACTTGTACTTTTTTTGGACTTTTTTGAATGATTTGTAAAGGCTTCTTTCCTTAAAGTTTTTCGCGAAGTCTGTGAGGCTATCCATATGAGGGCAGGAAGGATGGTATAATCGGCCATATACTCAAAAGGGTCACGTGCACAAAAATGCAAATGTATAAGCGTACAAAAATGAAAATGCACAAAAGCGCAAATGTACAAATGGATACTTACATCCTTACTCACCAACAAGCGACGCATAATTTTTAGTCGTACTCTTGATAAAAAAAAAAAAAAAGAACGCATACTTCGCACAAATAATTAACCACGCAAGGCAACCACCTCTTGGGTAAACTCAAATGAACAAGTTTGGTTACGTTCGCCTGGCTGTGTTTACGTTTGACGCCGTCTCCGCTTAGCTCATTTTATCGCCCCCTTTTTTTTTTTTTTTGCTCTTTCGCACATTTCTGTTTTGCGCGCCAAGAGAAGGTTCCTACCCCGTCAGCTCACCTATTACATTCGCGCAGCTAAACAAGTACATACATCCGTATATACATACATCCATACGTGTGCCTGTATACGCACAACCTTGCGGACCATCTCAATGTTTCTTCCAAAATGTAACAGTACCCATTCCTTCACATGACGCATTTTTTTTTCTCTTTATTAGCCCCCCTCAGATGATCATTTGGTAAGAAAATGTAACGTGCCTGTGATGGAATCTTTTTTTTTTTTTTTTTTCTCCCACAAGTCAGTAACCTCCTCTTCAAACCCCTCGCAAAGTACGTACACTACTACTACCCCCCAGGAATACACACACGTGGGTGATTGTTCTCCCCAAGATGTGCACGCAATTTTGGGCGACCCCTTCACTGCGTGCACTTGGTCCTTTTGCTGTAGTTAAAAAAAAAGGCACACACGTACGGAGAGGAGCCGAAGTGAGAATAACTGCTTCACACAAATCGCAAAAGCGAAAATACGCGAAAGCGAAAACACGCATATCCGGTTTGCCCCTCGTTTTCCACTTTTACCCCTCCGCACCGAAACAGATAAACATGATCATCGTCAGGCGCATGCCCAAAGTAAAGCCCCCCGGAACAACCATTTTTTTAAGCAAAGCTTCCCACTTGGAATCCACTTATTTTGCTGGCGACTCGTCGCATAGCCGCTGCTGCTACTCTTTACGCAGAAATGACGACGACGAAAGAGTATCACCCAAACAAGAGGCAACTCACCAAATGAAACACAACTCGGGAGGCAAAACAAACGACAAACATGGGGACATGTGGAGCTTTCTAGCCTTTGAAAAAAACATTACCTTCTTTTCGGTCAATTTTTACATTCTCCTTGCCGCCGTCCTGGCGTTGCACTTTTACAACAAGGCGAACGAAACGGACAAGATTAGCGAAGTGGACCAAGCCAAGGAGCGCGAGCGCAAGAATTTGCTGGAAATGGAAAAGAAAAGAAAAAAATTGCAAAACTGAGGCAGTCCCGTTTGCGCCAACAGACAAATCGGCAGTAATCACTGCATACATATTAAGCTACACCATTTGTAACATTTCCCCGTTTTTTGTTTATCCAGAGTATAGGTCACAACAGTTTTCACCGCGAAATGGCAACCTATTCGTTCTTTGCTCACATGAGGGATGATACAACGTTTCATAAAAATCCTGTTCAAGTGTCATTCCTCAGTTCGTTTCTCTGTTCGGGTATTCATTACGACGTCTCCTCGGACGCTCACTCCGAACTGCTTTCTCTCCGGAAATGCAAAAATGTGTTAAGAAAAAAGAAAAAAAAAGGCGGATAGCATTTCCCCCCAAATGGACTATATATCGACTGCCAAAAAGCTATCCTCCAATTAGCACAATTTTTCACGTTCAGTAGGGGGAAAAAAGAAAAAAACATTTCCTTAATGGTAACAAAACGGCAACAACCCTCCAACGAATTACAAACACGACTAGCGTCCGCCACACGCACTGCTAGACATGTTTACAATTTCGAATTGGGTCCCTTCTTTCTTCCCGTTCCGTCGGAAAATCTTCTGTTATATAGCTGTCTCTTCTTTGCCCTTCCAGTCAACTTTTTTCTCTTAGACACCTTGGGAACCTTGGGCGTCTGGTTTTTGACCTTTCCCGCTCGAGCTAATGATCCGTGTACCTTTCCTACGGGGGGAAGGGGATTCAAAATCGGGTGGAGATGCGTAAAATGATCTTTTCCACTCCGCAACGAATGCGTTGGGATGCGTTGGGATGCGTTGCTATATCCCGTTGTGCCAATTTTGTAAAAAAACACCCTTCAGAAAATCGAAGCAACGATAGGATAATTCGACAAAATCGAAAAAAGAAGCATTGCAGAAGAGGCACAGACGTGTCCACATTTGACGTGACGGGGATTAAGAACTGGTCAATCGTTAATCCCACTTCTTAGTTTAGTCTACCCCATCCGGTTAAACCACAGAGAGGATCACCAAACGGGGTAATACAGGCATATACACAGGGAGCTAAATAGTCATGGGAGTTTCCTTCCCCACACATGGCAGAAGATGCACCCCTCGAATTACGAAGCTGCTTAACGCTGCTTAATTTAACGCTTCTTAACTTAACGCAGTTTAACTTAACGCAGTTTAACTTAACGCAGTGCAACGCACATACGAGCATCCCTCCTTTGCGCGTACGTGTTTATCTCACATTGGTACATCGCCGCAATGCATTCTGTGCGCAGCCATTGGCTCTCAAAAAAGCTACATTTTCCCTGATGAAAATGAAATATATGCTTACCCATTTTTTCTTTCAATTGGCGCTCCTCTTATCTTAAATCGTGTATCTTCTCTTTGGAATCAACTTCGACGTTTCCGTGAGGTGAGGTAAGTAACAGTTGCTTCACTTGCAAAAAAGTAATCTTCACTGTAATGGTTAAGATTTCCTCATGCCGTTTTTTAACAAATGTGGAAAGTTACGCAAAGTTCAAGTTTATTTTTTTTTTTTACTTTGCTTGCAGTTCGAATCGGAAAAAAAAAAAAAAAGATAAAAAAAGATAAAAAAATTTAATGGGGGGAAGCCAAACGGGGTTTCTTTCCTTCCTCTATTTGGGGATCTTTTTTTCTCTGCGCAGTTTTTTTCATTGCAATAGAGTAACGGATTCCTCCTTACGATTTCGTTTCGCCGCTTCCCAACTTTCTACGTATTCCGTTCCTCCACTACAACATAGGGGGGCAGTGCAATTTTGTTGAAACTCCCCAGTAGGCTGCGCATACAATTAGCAATTTTGGATTACCTAGAGTGCATCTTGTAGAGCGCTTTGTACCATCTGTGCGGCCTGCTTCACTACATGGGATTTCCCATTTTCTTCAAAAAAAAAACGTATACTAGCGCAAAGCTTAGTGGAGACCCAAATCGACAAAAAAAAAAAAAAAAGTTACACGAACTATACACCGTGACAAATGAATGACAGATTTCACTCATGTTCTTAAAACGCTTCCCCGAACGGACTGGTGGCATTCGACTTCGTGGTGTGAAGCATACCTGACAGGATAACAACAAAGGGGGTGCACATTTTTTTTTCTTCTTTTTCCCCATTTTAGCAACCCACCCGTTAAACCTTTTCACGACATGCTTTAATTCATAAAATGAAAGGGAACAAATGAAAAGAAGGGGGCGGATTCTCGATTGCCATTTTGCAATACGACTATTCTATTGGCCAATCCCGAATGCGGAAAAATGGCTCGCCATAAAAACAAACAAATCCAAGGGGCGAAGTTATCCGCCACAACAGAACAATTTATGTACCATTTGGGGGTGAAAAAAAGGCACTTCATTTTGCGCCCAGCAAAAAACTCACATTTTGCCACATTTTTACGAAAAAAAAAAAAAACATTTCGATTTGCTTAAAAAAGGGGCGAAGCAAAATGCAGGTTAAGCAAACGGGGGGGAAGTACAAATTGTATGACCCAATGATTACACATAGCTGGGATGGTGGCCACGCCCTGGCTTCCCTCCTGCGCTCAATGTGTACAGATGGTATTCTGAGGTGACCTCTGCTTACACCTCAATGCGTATGCCCAGAGAGGCCTTTCGAAGCCTCTCCACCACGACTTGACCGAGGCCAACGGACACGGAAAGGACTCCAAAGGTGTGGGGTAAAGTCGACTCCAATAGCGAGAGCCCCGATTCCGATATGATTTTCGCGCTTAGGACATATCCTGGGTCTTCATTCTTTCCGCTCAAGTGCAGGAATATCTTCCGCTCCTGGTTGCCGCCCTTCGAGTGGGAACCCTCCGCAGGGTTGTTTCCCCCATTCGCGTCCTCCGAAGAACTGCTTACCCCCACGTAGGATTGCCCAACCACGGCGCACGTCCAAAAGGCCCTCCTCAACTCGTTTGCCGTCTTCGGCGTGTGTAGCCAGTCCACGTACTTTCCCGCCAAATAGTTGGCCAAGCCGAACGGCCTCAGCGCAAAGGCCACGACGCTACTAAACACATTCTTCACAGTTGATAACATTTTCCTCAAAACGTACATGGGAGTCGTCAAGTGCGCGTCATACTGTTGATAACTCACAATCAAGTTTTTCCCATACCTATAATTAAGCAAATAATTTGACCACAAAACGTAGGCTTCTTCCGCTTTCGAATAAACTGTCCTAAAGCAGTATCCAAATTCTTCCTCATAGTCGAAAAATGATTTTTCTTTTTTCTCTTTTTCTAATAAATAGGAACTCACCTCATCATTCATCACTTTGTCGTATTTACCCTCACACAGGTAATGTTCATTGTAGCCATCTTGAACGTCCTTCCTGAATTGCAAAATACTTTTTATGGTGGTTTTTCCCACCGTTCTTAACTCACTGCCTTCCGCGGAGAGTCTTATGCGAATATATGAACATGGTTGTTTGTATCTTTTTAAAAACTCCTCTTGAATTATAAATGTCCCCAAATCGCTAATGGCTGAAATGAACGATGCGCTGTGAATAATTTTTATCTTTTTTTTCTTTGCAATTTCGTTGAACTCCTTGTATATGCTCAACATGAACGTATGCTCACCACACAGATCTACGTAGTGGGAGTTACCTTCCACACACGCCTTAACAATATTATACCCGTACGTCGCATAGGGACCCACTGCGCTGATGACCACTCTGCACATACTGCAACAACTTAAAATGGAATCGTAGTTACCCACATCGCATTGTTTTGTCTCAATCTTTTCACTACATGTGACACCTTCCTTCTCTTTCATTCTTAACAAAATGTCGCTAAACTTTTCTGTACTTCTCACTGCACAGAGAAGTTTTACATCCCCACTGGAGATCCTCTCTTGATAGTTTTTCAAAAGATACTCCAATATCATTTGCCCGGTGTACCCCGTACTGCCAAGCAGCAGGATGTCGTACTTCTTCCCGTCCATTTGGAGTGCTTTTCGGTACGGCTAAGCGGTGGCGCCTTCTCTGCAGTTTTGCTTATTCCCACGCGTCTGTATGATTATACTTAGGCGACGATGCAGACTTATACGTGTACCTTGCTGCTTTTTCCCCGCGATGAACAAACGTCTCCTCTTTGTCTATCGCGAGATGGAATCTCTTTTCGTAACCTCTGCGCAGCATACCAACGATGCGATTTCACGAGGTGAAACAAACTCAAGTTGTGCGCAACTCGCTGGGACACACCTTTCGCTATTTCTTTACAGCGCAGTGTTCATCGGAAGAAGATAACAAGTGGGGGATTATATCATTTAGAAAATGATGTACTCCACGTACCAGGACAGACAAAAAAAAAATAGAATAAATAAAAGTACAAAAAGGAAAATACCAAAAAAGTACAAAAAAAATGACGTAATGAACCTATTTGACAAAAAACGATACATAATTTACGACATTCGAAAATATTACGATAAAGTGTCCTTCTCCATGTTTAAGAGGCATTTGCATCTTAACCCCAAATGTGGCCTCATTCTGCGTATCCCCATGTGTACGTACATACATGCGCGTTGACTTGTTGGTACCCCCCCCTAAAATTAATGCCAGAATGGCTTATCACATTTTTTATTCGCACTTTTTAAAATAGCTAGCTACAAATAAAAAAAAAAAAAATTGCTACATTTTGGCTTGCTTCATACTTCGCGAAGAGGAACGAGCTTAGAGGAAATGCCCCTTCAGCAGTTCCTATTAACGGATGGGAAACTACTCCAGCAGTGCAGGGAAAAATGTGCACAAAGAAAAATGCATCTTTTGGGGAGGAGACATAAACAGGGTGTACTCATACTACAAAAGCAGATCAAACCCCTTTGTAGCGTTATTCCCCTGGGTTGAGTGGCGCAACGCTGCAACCACAGCTTAACGTCATACAGGTAAAACGACATACCAACAGACTGTTCCAGCAAACATACTTGGCACCACTCTGACATGATGAAAGAAAGATAAATCTGAGGCCCCCAATTTGTATCTATCCCGAATGACCTCCCCAAACGAGCATTGCCTCCAGGTTTCATTTTTCTGGGGGTGGCAGAACGCCGGTTGAACATACGGAATGCTCGGGGATGTAGGGGGTTCGCTTAGTGGTAGTTTTTCTTTTCGGAGCCCCTAATCCACGTAGCAATATGTATGAATAAATGGCTACAGAAAGA